AAGCGTCGAATGGCTGAGCGCAGGAATTGGACCATTGTCGAACTTGCCCGCGAGACCGGCATTCCTGCTACACCGTTGGCCGACTTGTGTACAAAGAATTGAAGATGTATGTATGTGTATGTGTGTGTATGGATACCTCATTTATTTACAGAAGCACAGGTCCAAAACCGGATTGATGCCTGCAGAAACAATCTTCTCCGCCACCGACGTCGCCCGCGACTCTTGAAACGAACGTTGGCTATAGATGAAACATGGGTGGGTTTGTACACAGCCCAAACGCCACAAGCGTCGGGTTTTGACGAAAGCCGACGAAAAATCGCCCGAAATGGTTCATGAAGAGTTACGTGGTTACAAGCGGATGCTCATCATGGCAATGGATTTCTGGGACGTGGCGTTCTGGCGACTCTGTCCTGAAAAAATGACCGTCACTGCTGAAGTGTATCGCCAGTTTCTCGACGATAATATCGACAATCGGATGGCAGCACACAACTTCAAGAAGCCAATTATCGCTCATGACAGTGCCAAGCCCCACGCATCTCGAATTGTGCAGCAGTTTCTTGAAGAAAGAAAACTATCGAAACGAGGTTTCAACCGCCGTATTCTCCCGGCCTCCAGCCGTACAACCTCAACTGCTTCGGTCAAATGAAGACACGTCTTAGTGGCAAACGCTTTGACAACTGGTCGATCGCCGAAATGGACTTCACCAGCATTTTATCTGCACTTGTTGAAGAAAAGAAGCTACTTGGTGTTCAGATGCTACCTGGACACTGGGAGAGGGTAGTCGGCAATGATGGAGCCTACCCGACAGAACACTAGAACATTAGCTTTTTATTTCGTTTGCTGTTAATTTTATTTGAATAAAAGCTTGCGAACTTTTGAAAGGGATGATCTAATAAACGTCGTGGTGCGGTGGGACATGATATCAAGCTTTTGCTTAAACCCTAAACCCACCCTCGACTTCCTTTGAAATTCTGTAACCTATGAGCCATCGTAGGTGTTTTTAAGCAGCCTTGGTGGGAATGACTGTTGTGCAGTGGGACTCCTATTTCAATTTTACGAAACACATCCTTCTGACTCGTCCGCTAATCTCCTTAGGTAGACAGATAGGTCCGCTTGCTTTGTACCTGATAGTTAGAACCACATAAGAGATCGTGAGTTGTCAATAATAGACTAAATCGAAAGCTGAGGTCCTCTCGCACTTCCCCTTAGTTTTCGTAAACCGCACCCTGTAGTGATGATACAAACATTTTTTCCATGTACAAGGAATTGAGCCTTCTTTTGGAAATCGAACTACAGAATGCCATGGACTCTTCTACCACTGACATAAAATTGGAGTTCATGGTTGGAGCACAAAGTAGAAGGCTACGTTTCACTTCAGAAACTCTATATCCCCACAAACGTACAAAGTTTCTTTCGCGAAGTTACCGGTCCATCCTCGTCAGGCGAACGCAGAGCACCATTGAGATCACCTTTTACGGACTCGCAAAGGATAACGGGCTTGTTTTCATAGCATCGACAATAAGGCTCAAAAGCTCTTCATTACTGTCTGTCCTAAGTTGGTGCCCAGTCATGCTGTACGAACGAAAGTCCTCTATCAATATGGTGACACCACATTTAGTCAGAAGATTGGCTGGTAACATGTTGAAGAGCGTTAGATACGATAATCACCTGGAACCTACCTCCTTGAAGCCTCCTAAGGCCGCTTCGAGCAAATGTTTAGGATTCCTCCTCTGCTTGAATGGAGCTCCACCCTTACTCGGTCGGTGAGAGGCAAAAAAACCTCCTTGTAATACCTTTTCAGCGTTTCTAAATTGTGAGGGACTCCGCAGATGTCCAACATCGAACACAAAAACGTTTTGCAGGCGTGTGGAATGCATTTAATGGAAAATGCAAAACGAGCGCGTGCCTCAAGGAATCGAACGTTTATGTCATGCTTACCAGTCCACCACCCTATCAGCTGCGCCACTGTTACACACTCAAAGCTTCGCTCGGCTCGGTGATCCGTTCGGTACAGTGGTATGACAAAGGAGGCATTACCGTAACTTTGTTCCAGAATCGTTTAGCAAATTTGGAGCACAGATTTGAGATCAGCGTTCGAAACCACCTACAGACGTATACTACATATCATTTTGATCGGCCACTACAACCCAGTATCCTTCCCTTGTAAGATGGCAAACTGTACTTTCAATGCACGAACGTTTACATCGGAAGAGTGCATCGAATATCTGATGATTCAAGCCAAGAAGATCAAGTATGGCGTCGTCGGACTGATCAAGACGAGGAGGCACCGCCCGTTGCACGCCGCTTTCGAAACTGGAGAAGTACAGGTCCTTGGAACATGCGACAGCAGAGACGTCGGCGGTGTAGATGTTCTCTTCAACACGCACTTAGCGATGTGCGGAAGCTTAACAATCGGAATAGGACGTTTGCTATCAAGATGTGGCTCAGCCCAGCTCTAACATCTTCGTTTTTTACGCACTAACATCGAGCTTTGATGAATAGGAGCTGAAAGGATTTCATATTGACCTGAAGAGGCTATACAGAGGGGACCATACTTTTTTCAAGGTCATCGTTAGTGATTTCAACGCCAAACTTTGCCCCCAAAAGAATGGATGAATAGGTTCACGTCGGAACTCACGGAATGGTATGTTAAGAGCAGGGTGAAAGGCTGTCCGAGTTTATCATGTTAAGCCACACTATCCATGTTAACTAACAGTTCCAGAAAACTCTCATTTCCGATGGACATTAGAGTCACCTGGCGAACAGCTCTTTCATGAAATAGACCACATCATCGTCAACCGAATGTTTTTCCTGACTGACGTCGCTGTTGTTCCGAAGTTTTACACAAGATCAGACCAACGTCTCCTCCGCGCTATATTACGCTTTTCAGTGCGCGGAGAGTTCAGGAAACGAAGCCCCGAGACTGCGATTTATGGACAAAACTTATTTCGGACGCGACTCGAACCCATACCTGTGCTTTCCGGGTACGGTGCTCTATCTCTTACAAGACCCCGCTTGCCCTCGCCTTCTTGATTGCTCATATTCCACAGCTTATTAACACTCACACGTGCAACTTGTGGAGCCGGCGACCAGTAAAAGCACTGAACCGTTAAGCTGAAAGCTTTTCTTGATATAACTTGTTTTGACTTGATTCTTTTTAACTGCTATTTCGCCGCAGTACGCGTTTCGAAAGTCTCACAAGGTTGGCGATTTATGGACCAAACTTCAGTCTCATGATAACAATGATAACAATAAAAGATGCTAAAGGGATACAGGAATAGGGTATGAGCTCCCGTGATCTATCCCATGAAGAATCCTCGCTACCCGACGGGAATCTGTCAACCAAGATACGGATGTTACATAGGTCCACTATAAAGCGAGCCGCGTACCGACAACTTGGCCTCTCACTCATTTCGTTCGTCTAGCGCTGGGTGAAGCGCCTATGGCACCGGCGCTGGCCGACTTGCCTGGCCTCTCCTTGGTCCAGTCATGTAATGCAACGTAATCTATAATTAACAAAATATTTGTATACACATCTGCACAACTTACGAATAATTATTTGAAACTTTAAGGATTGCTACTACCGCGACGATTTCAAGTCCGGAAAGTTATGGATTTCTAACGCTGGGAAGTGGTCGTCAAAGTAAAACTTTTGCGATAATTATCCTCGTACAAACATCTTGCTATTCAGCGAAGCTTTACTCGAAAAAGAAAATATAAAATCCGGCGTTTGAATATATTCGAGCAAGGCGTGGCACATAACCATTCTATGAATGCGTAACTCAATGAGAGTTACAAAGAGGGAACTGCAGAAAGAGGAACAATCATTTTGCAGTCAACTTCGCTGCCTGAAGGGATGTAAAAGCCAACAATAGCACAGAAATAACGTTCGAACTGAAACGATGAAACGAACCAGTAAACATAAGCAGAACGAAATGAAACATCATTCTCAGATCCTAATTATCTCAAAAACTGTCCAAAAAAAAAGTTGACTATTCCAGTTATAATTAGTTAGAGTGGTTAGAGAAGAAGTGGAGGACTTTACACCAGGTTTACGGTACGTCGAATTCTTGCATGCCAAAAATTCTCTTCCAATTTAAACGCACGCACGAACTCATTACTGAAAAGAACAAGAATAATGAAACATCTAACCACATGCAAGGTATGACTACATTAACCGACATTGAACAATAACACGAATCTGTCGAGAAATCGTACTCCAAAATGAGGAAACCCGGACAAAAGATCTGTACTTGATCAACATAAGTAGTTATGTTGAACCAATCAAGGGTATTGGCCCTATTAGTCAAATAGCAAAATCTAAAGAGTGAAACTCACAGAAGTCTCTTAACACGACCATTTCACCTAACTCCCGTCTTGCCTGCAATGGATCAGTAAGTGCAATGAGTGAGACAATTGGAGCTGTCTTGATCATCACAAGACACGGCATGATGGTGGTTGAGAGTGTAAGTAGGCTTCGGCAACGTCGATGAAAAAACGTGCGCTGAATAAGCGCACAAAAATAAGAAAAGTGTGAGGTACATTATGCAGTGAGATTTCTAGCGATATCCATGAAAAAAAGGCAACCTGCTTGGGGGGAACAAAGTAGGGTTGGCAGAACTACGGAAGGCGATTCTTTATATGACGGACATCGAGGAGAATCACCTGAAAATTGCGCCGCTTTAAAAAATCGAGCATAATACTTCAACGACCACCAGAATGACGACGAATCGGTGAGCGCGCAGCCGATTCATCGAGCACACTTGTAAACGCACATATTAAACCCCTCGAACTATTTTTGACTAAATGAGTGAAAATGATATGATTTGGCAAATGGACACTAACCGTTCCATCACTAGCGCTTGCAGCCACTTTTTCTCCACGGGAGTTCCAGCTGACTTCGAAAATTCCACCTTTCCTTTTCTCACCAACGTAACTTTGTAGCAATTTACCCGTCTAAATGCAATTTTAGCACAAAGTCTACTGTAGTGGGAATGATCTACAGCTCATTTCGCGTTATGTTCAACAACATGAACAGAACAGAAAACGTAGATTCAAACATAGTCAAATACTTCTGAGAGTACCTGTATATCCCAAATAAAGACAGATCGATCGAAACATCCAGAAGCCACATAACGTCCATCCGGCGAAAATGAAACCGAGTATACTGGGTCGTTATGACGGGATAAAGTTCGAACAAGCTCACCCCGTCTAACGTCCCACAGCCGTACCGTATGATCAAATGAGGCACTGAAGAAATGAGTTTTCCATGGTGTTAGAATCCAAAAAAAAAAAATGCAAAAAATATAACGAAGTTGACATCTCATAATACTTCCGCAAAAAAAATCAAGCACTTTCTGAACCATCTATTGAGGAAGAAGGACTGGAAGTGGACTGCCTCACGGGAAAAATAAAAAATAGCAAGAGATTGTCGTCCCACTATTAGAGAACGGCACCGTTTCAAGAAAGAGCACCAGTGTAGAGGACATAAGGAGAGTTATAGGCAAACTTGAAATTTATTGCCCTGATAGTTGGAGCGGTCGGAAATGCTCTTGCTCTGATTTTCATAAGAGATGTAAAAGAGAAGAGGAAGGCGTGTTAGCGTTGTTCGGACTTGTCTTCAGGATAAGCACTCACATTTTACCT